CATGGATCAGGCTCCCTCCTGAGGAGCGAGCCGCACTGCGGTTACTCTGCTCCTTCTGATTCTTTCCTCTGCTTCCTCCTGGGAGCCTGGGAGAGCTGCCTCCCAGGCCCTGCACCCGCGATTACAGGAATCACTCTGAGGCACTTGAAGCTGCGCCATTCTGTGATTATTTACCAGTTATCCATCACATGCCTTGTTAAGCGGCTGCCTGCTACATCCTGGACTGAGGTGGAAACCTAAGACTTTCACTGAGAAACAACAACCTTTAATTTCTTCCTCTGCTCTGAATCGCAAATTACCATAGCAGTAAGCCCAGTTCGGTGACTCAAAGCCTCTCAGCCAGCAGTTCTAGAAAGGAAATTGTGAAACTGTGGAGCTCACCAAGAAGCTACTGCCAGTGTGCCAAAAGAGGGAGCTTGGGAGCAGAAAGCATGTGTTTGCCAGGCTTCTAAAAAATACTTAATTTGGATTCTTTTTTCTTTCCCAAGGATGGAGTAGGAGTAAAACATAATCATAGTCAACTTTCTCTTTTTAAAGGTTGCTTTAAGACAGGAAAGTCAAACATCAGAAATACACAGATCACTTTTAATGATCGCTCTCTATCCTCCCAGACAAAACACTCACCTCATGCCTGGCTGCCAGGCACCAACAGCTCTAATTAAACTGCTCTCATTAAAGGGAGGAGGTGGTGCAGGAGGAGGGGGGTAGGCAGGGAGAAGAGGGGAAGGTGGAAGAGGAAGTAAAGGAGGAGTGGGGAGAAGGGCAGAAGGTGGTGGAAGAGGAAGAGGAGGAGGGGGTATATGGAGGAGAAGCTGAACCAGTATGACTAGGAAATTATTACATATTGAATAAAGGTACTGCTTTATTTCTTTTCTGGATGCCATGCAAGGTCTAAAAAAATTAAAAGATCTGTAATTTAGATCTTACCTGAGAACAAGGATGGAGTCACTAATGCTACAACCAAGCTGAAGGGAAGCTAATCATCAGGTGCCATCTTACCCTTCTCCAGGGCAAACCACTCCTACTGCCAAGCAAGAGGACTGGTGTAAGCACCTAGAACTCTTGGTGGAGACAGGCCTTGTAGTCACATTTGCTAAGGCACTAGCAGGGTGAATGTCTGCATAAGACACATACTTCCATACAGAATCATTTTACAAAATAGACTCTGCCTTTGTAAAGGCAGCTTTGGCAAGCTATTCATTTGTATATTTCTTCAAATTCACTTCCAAAGAATTTTAACTTGTATATTTTTAGTTTGAACACATATTGAGCTTATTATTTTACTCAAATTACCAATTATTTTGCATCATCTTAACTTAAAAAACACAATTGGAAAATGCAGAACTTAAATTTTTTCCAAAAAAGTATGCTTCATATATGCTGATAGGCAGAATGATATATTTATTTGATAGCTAATTAAATTACTTTTTAGTATTCCTGTCTGTTGAATTTAAGCAAAATGATGGAAGGATCAATCCGAAGAAAGCTAGATGTTCTGCAATACCAGAGGCCTGGCAACAATGTTTTAAGACCCTTTGCAGGCTGGAAATATGGCTTAGTGGTAGAGTGCTTGCCTAACATGCATGAACCCCTGGGTTCAATTCCTCAGCACCACATAAACAGAAAAGGCCAGAAGTGGTACTGTAGCCAAGTGGCAGAGTGCTAGCCTTGAGCAAAAGAAGTTCAGGGATAGTGCCCAGGCTCTAAGTTTAAGCCCTGGACTTAAGGACTGGCAAAAACAAAACAAACAAACAAAAGACCCTTTTGCTACACTCTTCAGACCTGGAAAAACATGACCTTGATCTCAGTTGTTATTAGATTCACAACAGGAAGCACATCACTGTGTTTGTTAAAAGATCCATCTTACAGCACAACCTTTAAAGTTGGATTGTTTTAAACCAATAGAGAGCAACAGAGAGCAAGTGGCCTTTTGAGAGTCAGGGCTGACAGTCTGTCCTAGGCAACAGTTGGTAACACCAAGACCTAAGAGAAGGAAATCTGTGAACACAGAGATGGATTTCACAAGCTACATTTTTCTCCTTTATTTGGGCCATCATAGGAAAGACAGATTATTTTTTACAATGATTTAAGGACTCTCATCAATTAGCCTGTGACAGCATTCATCTTGAAGGAAAAATGTAATAAGCTCTTCTTCCCTAAGTGCCAGCTGTCAAAACCTGCCAGCATTAATCAAAGCTTTTCAAAGATCCAATCAAATCACAGACTGAGTGGAAAGTCACTGCATGAGACCGATTAAGCTGTATTACTAAATGTCCAATGTTACATAAAAACTATAAATAACTTCGTACTGTTAGTCTTTTAAATTTGCTTTTCTTGAAGTAATCATGCTGTTCGGCATCAGTTAATAAAAGTAATGCTGGATCTGCCTCTGTGTTGAATCCACAGAGTCCTTGTGCAGAAGAGAGATGGGAAGTGAAAATCCAATCAGTAGAACCCTAAGCATGCCTTGGCAGATCTGTCATTAACACTTAAAACTTAAGAGGAGGGCTGGGAAGGTAGCTCAGTGGTAGAGCGCTTGCCTTGCATGCATGAGGCCCTGGGTTCGATGCCTCAGCACCACATAAGCAAAAAAAAAAAAAAAAAAAGCTGGAAGTGGTGCTGTGGCTCAAGTGGTAGAGCGCTAGCCTTGAGCTGAAGAGCTGAGGGACAGCGCCCAGGCTCAGAGTTCAGGCCCCACAACCACACCACAAAAAAAAAAAACAAACTTAAGAGGAGCACCCAAGACAGGGGGTTAGGCATCAATATCTGTTTCAATATTTGCAAAGGAATTCATATCTCGTACACAAGGCATCACTTAAAATTAACAAACCTGCAGCCAATATTGCACAGACACATCTATTCCTATGTCCAAAAATAACTGCCAAATCAAGAAGAGCTTGTCTCTAAGAACTGCCTTTCTTCTTTAAGCTAATGTTTGATATACTAGTTTAAAAGTACAAATAAGAATGCTGGGTAGGGGGATCTGGGAATGGCTTAGTGGTAGAGTGCTTGCCTAGTATGCATGAAGCCCTGGGTTCGATTCCTCAGCACCACATAAACAGAAAAAAAAGGCTTGACGTGGCATTGTGGTTCAATTGGTAGAATGCCAGTCTTGAGCAAAAGAAGCTCAGGGACAGTGCTTAGGCCCTGAGTTCAGGCCCCAGAACTAGAAAAAAAAAAATTCTGAGTAGCTAATGCTTGCCCAAATAAGAGGATAAAGAAGCAGAAGACCAAACTGAAATCACTAACATGGAAATGTTCCTTTTCCCTCCTTAATTTTTTTTTTTTTTTGGTCAGTTGTGGAGCCTGAACTCTGGGCCTGAGTGCTGTCCCTCAGCTCTTCAGCTCAAGGCTAAGCACTCTACCCCTTGAGCCACAGCACCACTTCCGGCTTTTTCTGCTTATGTGGTGCTGAGGAATAGAACCTAGGGCCTTATGCATGCAAGGCAAGCACTCTACCACTGAGCCACCTTCCCAGCCCTCCCTCCTTAAACTTTTAAAAAAAGATATTTCTTTCTGTAAGTCCAGTTCTTCCTTAGTAAACTCTATGTTAATGGGGACCCCATGAGCAACACACAAATATGATGTAGTTCACCACTGAGAGAGAAAAGTGATCCAAGCTTATGTATTTTACATGGAGGAGAAACAACTTTCCTTCACTGAATTTTTTTCAAGCTAGGCAGAGAAGTGCATGCCTATAATCCTACTAATAGAACATGATGGCAAGAGGGCTGATGAAGCTGAAGGCCAGCCCAGGCAAAAACAAAATACTCAGGAGGAGACAGAGACGGAGGGGGAGGGAGAAAGAAAAATAGAAGGTAAATAATTTTGAAAAAATTCAAAATTTTGAAAGGGGATGAAATGCTTGTGAAATAGATTATCTGCACCTATGAGAATAAACAGAACAGTGAAATCTGTTAAAATTACTTGGGGAAGGAAGGAGGAGGGGAGAGGAGAGTGACAGAGGGGGTAACATTGAAATATACAATAAGCTGGGGCTGGTGGCTCACACCTGTCATCCTAGCTACTCAGGAGAATGAGACCTAAAGATCATGGTTCAAAGCCAGCCTGGGCAGTAAAGTCTATGAGACTCTTATCTCCAACAAACTACTCAGAAAAAGCCAGAAGTGGCACTGCCTTGAACAAAAGAATCTCAGGGATAGCACCTAGGCCTTGAGAACAAGCCCCAGGACCAAAAAGAAAAGAAAAAAGAAAGAAAGAAAGAAGTACAGTGTAAATGTATGTAAATGCAACAAAGCTATCCCCTTCTATATAAATAATGTAAGATAACATTAAAATAAAATTTAAGAAAAGGGTTAGGAGCTTTGTTCAAGTGGGTAGGGTACTTGTCTAGCATGTTCCAGGAACTAGGTTCAATCTAAGGAACTGCCTCCCCCTCTCCCTTATCTAAAAACTATAAACTATTTTGAAAAACTATAAATGAAGCAAAGAACAGTAAATAAATACACTATGGCTCTTTAAGAAAAAAATGAAAGAAATGTTCTAGTATCTTGTCCAAATGAAATAGGAACCGAAAACACTTTGAATTCTTTAACTTGGGATTTTGTGCTAACTTTTTAGCCTACCATCTATATTCTGTAATAATTTCTTATAATAGTAGTCCTCAAGACTAACAGATGATTACATTATTAAATCTGTAATAGGTTTTGATAGAAATAAGTAATAATCCTTTAATATTAGAATATAAAAACATATATTGGGGAAATAAATTTTTGACACACTATACAATTTGAAAATAAATAGCCATGATACATTATACATCGAATTTTATTGCCTTCTTATGAATAGAACAAATATGGTATTCAAAATATACTTTCTTGCATTTTACAGAAGAAAAAGTAACTGAAGTAAAATTGAAGGAATTGTTGAACTTCAGATAAATGTTTCTTCAAAACAAGAGATATTAGTTCCTAAAAGAGTCCTCTAAAGTTAAAAAAAAGATTAGGAAAAACATTAAGCTATTGAGCTACTACCATACATTTACATCTGTAGATAGTAAACTTAGTCTCTTCCCCCATAAAAACCTAGGAGACACCACTGATATCTACACTAAACAAAAAAAGCTTCTTTTTCATATTAAACAACAACAACCAAAACCCTTTTAAATCTAAATCTACCTTAACTTTCCAAGAAAACTTTTTAAAAAGGAATGGTTAACCTGAAAGCAAAAGGTTGTTCAAATGACTTTCAAGGAAAGAAATACATTATGGAATGTGCTTATAACTAATAGTGTCAAGTACAACCCAAAACAATGACCCAAGAATTCACAGTATCAGCCGGTCCTCTCCTCCCTCCTGAATTACCTGACCAACAGAAGTTTGGCTTTGTTGTTTCAGAAAGCATTGTTTTTTACATTCCATCAATTGTTCAAAATCATGCCACATTTTCACTTGTTTCATATTTGGACCATGACTTTCTCGTACAGCTTTTTGTTTTTCTCGAAGTTTCTACAATGAAAAAATAAATAATCTAGTTACAGAGATAGTTTTCTTTTCTCTTTTCTTTTGTTGGTCGTGAGGATTGAACTTTGAGCCTGGGCGCTGTCCCTGAGCTCTTCAGCTCAAAGGGAACTCTCTCCTACTTGAGCCACAGCCCCACTTCCAGTTTTCTGGTAGTTAACTGGAGATAAAAATCTCACAGACTTTCTTGCCTGGGCTGGCTTTGAACCATAATCCTCAGATCTCAGCCTCCCTATTAGTAGCTAAGATTATAGGTGAGAGCCACCAGCATCTGGCCAGAGATACACTTCTAATGTTACACATCAAGATAATATGGTATATCATAGTTAGGCAATTGGCTAATTAAATTAAAGCAGATACAGGATATCCTAAAGAGGAAACTGGGAGAGGAAAAACTGGGCAAATATAAAGGAAGAGATCACATTGTCTGAAAAGAATTATATCTTAACCTGACTTATGTAATTGTAACCCCTCTCTCTGTACATCATCTTTACAATAACAATTAAAAATTAACAAGAAAAAAAGAACAGAAAAATGTAAAAGAAGGGAAGGAAATAAGAAAGGGCATCAGGAGAGCATAACAAGTGAGATGAACTGGGTTTCAACACTGGCTTTGTCACGAGTGATCGGCAATGTTTCCTGGGTCTGCTTTCTCAATTGTCAGTTAGGACTAATAATTGACGATAAATAAAAATATGTCTTATAAGGTTATTTTTTCACATGATAAATACTTCATAAATTATCATATTCTATGTATGTTATTATTAAATGCTATATTCTAGCTTGAAACATTGTATGATCTATTTATGTTCAAATAAATCATATACATATCTTTCTTAGAGAGAAGACTCAGGTTTATTTATTTATTTAAGTACTAAGATTTTAAGTAAGGGCCTTTGTGCTTGCTAGGCTGGCTCTCTACCACTCAAGCCATTCCTACAGTCTTGCTTTTGCTGTTTTTTTTTCCTCTGGAGATTGAGTCTAGCATTCTGCTGGGGCTAGCCTAGACCTGCAGTCCTCCAGATGGTCTCCTGAGTAGCAAGGATTGCTGGCAAGAGTAGAGCCAGTGATTTTTAAAAAGGTATACCATTCAATAAGCCCAAATCTTTATCACAACCACTGACTGCCCAAGCTATTTTAGTCATCAAATCTAAAATTATAAAATGAAGTAAATTTTCTACAATAACTTGTAAAAATATACTTTGGCTCTTTTTTTTTTTTTTTTTTTTGTCAGTTGTGGGGCTTGGGCACTGTCCCTGCACTCTTCAGCTCAAGGTGAGCATTCTACCGCTTGAGCCACAGTGCCAACTTCTGGTTTTTGAGTGGTTTATTGGAGATAGGAGTCTCACGGACTTTCCTGCTTGGGCTGGCTTTGAACCTTGATCCTCAGATCTCAGCCTTCTGAGTTGCTGGGATTATAGGCGTGAGCCACTGGTGACCGGCTTATACTTTGGTTCTATATAATATTAAAGTGAGAAATGCTGACTGCAAAGAGGGGTCAACACAAGGCCAGACAACAATGAGAAATATGGTAGAGAGAAAAAGAGTACAGATAAGGAAGAAAGAAAGGAGAGGAGAGGAAGGAGAGAAGGTAGGGCAGGGAAGAGGAGAAGAGGAGAAAGGGAGGGGAGGGGAAGGAGAGCGGGCTCAAGGAGCTGAGAGAGGAGGAGACAGGAACAAGGAGATGGGAGGGGTAGGAAAGGGAGAAGGAAAACAGAGAGGAGACAACAATGTACATATAAGGAAACACAGTGTGACCAAAATACTATCTACATGGCCATCAAACGTGAGAAAATCACCAAGAGGGACAGAAAAACAAAGAAAGACAAGGAAGCACAGTACACTGGAACATCCTCCTTTCCTCTTTTAGTACGTGGTGGATCTTCCATTGATTTAAGCAAGCTGGTGGTTAATGCTTGCCCAAATAAGAGGATAAACTAAGCTAAGGACCAGATTCAAATCACTTACTAAATGCTGTCCACTGCAGTATGGACAACCAAAGAACTTAACAGTAAACAGCAAGAGAAAGCAACAGAATTTTAAAGTACAATTCTATAACCAGCAGTTTTTTGATTCAACATAGGGCATATGAATACATATACTTAAGTTCACATTTATTAATAATTTTCTCTTACAACAAACATTTTATCCTTATATAGCATTTGCAAAGGCCATGAAAGCAGACCCAAACTTTTAAAAGCCCTGATCATAATTTTAAATTAAGGTTAAATTTAAACTCTAATTTTTCTTATATTAGTAGAATAATTTCCTTGTCAAACATCCTAACAATCTATAAAAGTTAAAGAATCAAAGACAATGTGGGTGCTGTATCAGAAATATTAAAATTTGTTTTATAATTCTGGGCCTGAAACCTTTAGCTTTATAAGTATAACTGACTAGTTTGTAATTTATTTTTATATTTATTGTCACTTAACACAGATTTGTAATAGTTGAGATGAGCTGGGACAGTAGAAGTGTGGGGATTCCATTCCATGCTCTGGTCTAGTCTGGAACGTGCACTTGTCATCACTGAGTAAGGTGAGCTGCACTATACTGCATTTGCACTGAAAATTTAGACCTACTGTAGAAGTGAGAGGATTGAGGAGCTGTGCTTCTGACAGCCTAGAAGGTGAGGAATGAGCTAGTAATTGGCTCATTTTGCTTAAAAATATTTAGTGTCAGATTGCTGCAACCACTTTTCTCAAGAACCTGCAGTAAAACACTACAGTGAATAGGAAAAGCCCAGGTTTCATTTTTGGTGCTGGGGGCCAGAACTGTGTACAGGCTAAACATGAGCTCTATACTGCCCAAGAACAAGCTTGAGCCGGGCGCTGGTGGCTCATACCTGTAATTCTAGCTATTCAGGAGGCTGAGATCTGAGGATCACGGTTCAAAGCCAGCCCAGGCAGGAAAGTCTGAGAGATGCTTATCTCCAATAAGCCACTCAAAAACCAGAAGTGGTTGCTGTGGCTCAAGGGGCAAAGCGCTTGCCTTGAGCTGAAGAGCTCAGGGACAGCTCCCAGGCCCAAATATTTCTGCACATACCATCACCCATCCAGATGTTTTTCAAAACAAGAGAAGTTGAAGAATGCTCCTTAACATGGGGTCTTTGGGAGGGAGTCAACTGATAATCACAGTATGCTAAAAAAATCTAAAAATCTCTAGTTAAAATAGTGTACAAGTGAATGTTCACAAATTAACTCAAATAGGCACTTTCACACATAAAAATTCCTTTTGAGAATGACATGTCCTTATACACGGGAACTGGATATTTAGAACTCACAAGTTCTCTGTTAAATGGAGAATTAGCGTTGGAAGGTTTCTATTTATTTATTTATTTAGTTAGTTAGTTAGTCAGTTAGTTAGTTATACCAGTCCTGGGGCTTGAACTTGGGGCCTGGGCACTGTCCCCGAGCCTCTCTGTGCTCAAGGCTAGCACTCTACCACTTGAGCCACAGTGCCACTTCCAGCCTTTTCTGTGTCTGTAGTACCTAGGAATGGAATCCAGGTCTTCATGCATGTTAAGCAAGCACTCTACCACTAAGGCACATTTCCAGCCCTCCTTTTATTTTTTAATCTACTCAGTATAATAAATATCTGCTCACAAATCACAAAGAAAGAATAGAGGAAAGCTTTTAAGAGAAATAATTGGAGCTGGGAAGGTGGCTCAGTGGTAGAGCGCTTGCCTTGCATGCTTGAGGCCCTGGGTTCGGTGCCTCAGCACCACATAAGCAGAAAAAAAAATGCCGGGGGCTGGGAAGGTGGCTCAGTGGTAGAGCGCTTGCCTTGCATGCTCGAGGCCCTGGGTTCGATTCCTCAGCACCACATAAACAAAAAGAAAAAAGCCGGAAGTGGCGCTGTGGCTCAAGTGGTAGAGTGCTAGCCTTGAGCTGAAGAGCTTAGGGACAGTGCTCAAGCCCAGAGTTCAGGCCCCATGACTGGACCCCCCCCAATAAAAGAGAGAAATAATTGATTCTAGGTTTTAGACAGGAAATGTACAGGGTGAGCCTGGAATACTGTGTCACATTAGGAAATAAGTCACCAAAGTCTAATAGGGATTTCTTCAAAAGGATTCAGAGCTAGGTTTCGTGGTATATACCTATAATCCTAGTGCTCAGGAAGCTGTGGCAATATTGAGAGTTTGAGACCATCCTGGGCAACACAATGAGATTAAGCCTATAGTTTAAATCTTGTGTTAAAGGTTTATATGTCAGCCTGACACCAGAGGCTCATTCCTGTAATTCTAGTTACTCAAGAGGCTGAGATCTGAGCATCAGGGTTCAAAGCCAGCCCAGGCAGAAAAGTTGAGACTTTTATCTCCAATTAACTACAAAAACAAAAAAACAAACCTAGAAACAAAAACAAAAACCTGGAACCAATTCCAGCTGTGGCTCAAGTGACAGAATGCTAGCTTTGAGCATAGAAGCTCAGGGATAGTACCCAGGTCCTAAGTTCAAGTCCTAGGATAGGCCAAAAAAAAAAGCCTTGTGTTTGAAGCTCTAGCACACCTCTGCCCTTGGGGAAAAAAAAAAGTACAGACATGGATTTTTTTGTTTTTGTGGTGCTGAGATCCAACCCAGGGGATCACACATGCTAAGCAAGTGCTCTATCTCTGTTTGTTTTTTGTTTTTGTTGGTTGTGGGGCTTGAACTCTGGGCCTGAACGCTGTCCCTCAGCTCTTCAGCTCCAGGCTAGTGCTCTACCACTTGAGTTACATCGCCACTTCCAAAGTGCTCTATCTCTAGACCCTAAGTATCTAAAAAAGCATCTTTACCTTTGAAAGAAATTAAAATTTTCCCTTTAAAACCATGGCCTTTGAAAAAAAATGATGACGTCATACTTATAAACTAAAAGTCATAAATAATTCTTACCTTTCCAAGGTTTTCTTGTTCAGTAATATTTTTGGTATACTGTTCCCTAGAAAGTTAACAAAAATTATTTAGTTTAAACTTACTTCAATTGATTTAATCATATAACAAATTATAAACTAACACATGTAGCTATATATATTAAGCAATATATTTGGTAATATAGTTTAAGGGTCTGGAATAAAAAATAAACCCATTATCAAGTACTATGTCTTTCCTCATCTTCAGTCGGTTCTTTCAGGAAATAGTAAGTTAATGCGAGGAGGCATACTTCATATGAAATTACATTAAAAAATTAAGATGTTAAATATTATTTCTTATTAATCTACTCTTAAGGCAACAACAATCTATTTACTTAAACTTTGTATTTGAAGAAGTTTGCAGAAAGGAGAAAACTGTGTGTGTGTGTGTGTGTGTGTGATAGTACCAGGGCTTTGAGCTTTCACGTTCGTGGCTGGTTCTACCACTTAAGCCATGCCTATAGTCCACTATTTTGCTGGTTAACTTGAGGTGGAGTTTCACAGATTCTTCTTCCTTGGGTTGGCTTCAAACTGAGCTCTTTCTAGTTTAGACTCTTAAGTAGCTAGGATTACAGGTGTGAGTCATTGTACTCAACTAAGTGCACTTTCACACTGGTGGTGGGGCTTGAATTTAGGGCCTGGTGCTGCCCCCGAGCTCTTTTTGCTTCAGGTTAATGCTCTGCCACTTTGAGCCATATCTCCACTTCTGGTTTTCTGGTAGTTAATTGGAATCTTCCAGACTTTCCTTCTGGGCTGGCTCTGAACTGTGATCCTCAGATCTTAGGCTCCTGAATAGTGAGGATTACAGGTGTGAGCCACCAGTATCTGGCTTAAAATGCACATTTTAAATAAACATTTAATAGTATCTAATTCTGAGGTTCTATTTCTGTGAAGTTGTTCAACAGGAAACTCCCATGACTTAATGAACATAAAAACAAGGACTATTGGATTATTTACTTTATGAATGAATGTATATAGAAATGCTTAAGTAAATTATGGTTTGTACATTTAAAAGAAGAATAAAAGTGATAAAAGAGGGGATGGGAAGGTGGCTCAGTGGTAGAGCGCTTGCCTTGCATGCATGAGGTTTGATTCCTCAGCACCACATAAGCAGAAAAAGTTGTAAGTGGCTCTGTGGCTCAAGTGGTAGAGTGCTAGCCCTGAGGTAAAGAGATGAGGGACAGCACCCAGGACCAGAGTTCAGGCCCACGACCAAAAAAAAAAAAAGTGATAAAAGAGGATGAGGGCATATCTATAAATACTGAAGTAGAAATTCTAGGTTATGTGCAAGCTGGGTGCTGTTCGCTCACCAACAAAAACTAACAAACCAACTGTGTGTACAAAAGCTCAGGACAGCATCAAGACCCTCGATTCACGCCCTAGGATTAGTATAAAAAGAAAAAAGAAAAAAATTGTGTGCGTAGCTTAGATGTTACTTTTTTTTTTGGGGGGGGGGTCGGTCGTGGGGCCTGAACTTTGGGTCTGGGCGCTGTCCCTCAGCTCTTCAGCTCAAGGTTAGAGTTCTACCACTTGAGCCACAGCGCCACTTCCGGCTTTTTTTCTTTTTGCTTATGTGGTGCTGGGGAATCGAACCCAGGGCCTCATACATGCAAGGCAAGCGCTCTACCACTGAGCCACCTTCCCAGCCCCTAGATGTTACATTTATATACACATGTGTATACATATACATACACAAATGTCCCATATATTTGCTAATATATGCAGATATAGACATATGGGGAAAGAATGTCATAATGTATACTGGTGTTAAAGTCTGAGGTGAGACAAAATGTGGACCTTTTTTTATGTGTATGTAAGCTGAACACAGGGCCTGAACACTATCCCTGAGCTTTTTTGCTCAAGGCTGGCACTCTACATCTTGAGCCACAGCTCTACTTCTAACAGCCTTTTTTTTTTTTCTGAGATGGTTTCACTACATTGCTCAGGATGTCTAGGAACTTATACTATGTTGCCCTTCTGTCTCAGCCTCCTGAGTGCTGGGATTACAGGCATGTACCACTACACTTGGCTAGATAGCACTCAGTTTCGATGTATACTGTTTCATAATTATTGAGTTTTTTGGGGCTGGGAAGGTGGCTCAGTGGTAGAGTGCTTGCCTTGCATGCATGAGGCCCTGGGTTCGATTCCTCAGCACCACATAAGCA